AAGGATGAAGTCACAATGTATGCTTTCGATGTTTATCTTGCAGAACCAGCAATCCACATCGCATTGAAATGCAAAACACTTCAAATCCATATGTTTCGAACAGTAGTGTGATTCAATGTACAATACACTTAAATGAATAGAGACAGATTATCAACATTTCAAAGCTTCAAACACTAGAAATCAACCTGTAGAACACATTGAACTGTGGTAAAATACACTTAGAATAAATCTGATTGTGCATATGAAAAATCAAATGTTCAAACGCTTCGGTCGGACGTGTGGACTTTTTTGAGTGTAGGAAGCACAACACTTTTTCACTTTTCCTGATAAATTGATTTTTCTGAGATGCTCGAAAACTTGATCTACAGTTGAAAAAAATAATTCTGTATCGTTTTTGCTGGTGTTCAGAAATATTTTTGTCGAGAAAAATGGAAAATTTAAATAGTGCCTCAGTGGTTATGATCTTCCGGATTTCTTGTGTGAGAATAGTTCAGGTGCAAATTAGTTCAGATCTGGGGAAAATCGGAAAATAAGACAATCACCGATGGCAAGATGTTCAATGCAAAATGCTTTAATTTGCGTTGTGAAAGTCCTTATTCTGATGTACACAAACGGGTTGGTTGACGATTCCTCTCGAACTCGCCTGGCGTCCTCTACATTTATGGTGTATTGAAAAAGCCTATTTGTTTAAAAGTTAAATGTTTGAAATATTTATCAATATAGTTCATTCAACTAAAACACGCAGCGATTCAAAGCAAAAAAGTACTCAATTTTCAGTTACTCAACCGTCAAGTTTTCACCGTATTTTGTATCTTCTACTGCAGGTTTGCATCGACCATGAGTACCCAAAAAAAAAGCCGAACCTGGTACACAGACGACGAGGATTTGTTCTGCTGCGGATGAGAGGCTTCGAGTGGATGGGTGGTTGTGAAAGTGATTATTAAATGCTATGTATTACTTTCAATTGATTCAAATAAGTTCAATTTAACTTTGGTTGCCATATTCTAAAGAAAGGAAAACTATACAAATCTTATTCCAACGTTTTGTAAATTTTACCAATTACATTACATGATCGTTAGGTAATTTTCACTCAATGGATTCTCGATCAGGATTACTCAAAATTAGGTTTTCTTCTTTAACTTAATTTCACCGACAAACCGACATGAAACTTAAACTTAACTCCTGATCGAGTATTCATAACGGCCGATTCAAATGTGCAGCGATCCCATCTGTCAAAACCATATAAATGTTTTATCTAGATAAAAATAATTTGTCCAAAATAGATTAGACACGAACTAACTCATACATTTTGTACGCGTGTTCATGGCTAGGAGAAATATGTTCCGCGAACACGGAGACAGATGTCAGGTTTGTGCTTTAATCAGTAATTTCTTTTTAATTGATCATTTTAGATGGTAAAGTTTTGAACCCACCACATCATGCTTTTGGCGCTACTGTATATGGACGAAAAAATGTAAAATACTGTGGAAGCCACAGCGTACTTCTGTCAAAACCTCAGCATTTTCATTGATCCATTTGTATGATCATTCATGTCGGTTTGTCGGTGTTAATTTCATTATCCTCTACCTGTTGAGTGGAAGGAATTAAATTCATGGTTTTTTTATCGTGTAGGGAACGTCATTTTAAACTACTCGAATGATTTGATCCATTCGTGAGGCACTGATAATTTGTAGAAAAATGAATCGCTAACTCGAAGTTTTGAAGTGATCTCTTCTACCAGAAGAAACTGTTTCAGAATATTCACCCAAATTCTGAGATTTTCCAAACAAAAACATTTATTTGTAGGAAAAATAATTTTCGAACGTGGACCTCCGTTAATCTGAACGACACTTCGTCCATATTAACGGGGTTCATTTTTAATTTGAACTTCTGGTAACCCAATGACCATCAGAAAAGCAAGTTTCTGGTCGCCTTATTTGATTCTGCGTTCCGTTTCGGATCGTTCCATTTCGCTTTACTCCATTCCAAGTGCTAAATGACTGCCGTTTGAGCAATTTTTAGTTTGAACGACGTGCAGATTAGCGGGGTTCAAAGTAAACAGTGTACAGATTAAAAACGGTCAGATTACCGGGGGTTCACGGTATAGGTGATTGTTTAATTGTGAAGTTCGGAATTGTGAACTACTAGAAAAAGGAACGGGAAAAGTACGAAGAGGAGGTAAAGCGGCCGTCACTAGCGAAACAAATAAAAAAAGCGAAACGGAAATGGAGCATTCGAGCAGTTTAAAATGACGTGGGACATAATTTTGACAATGTTTCTTCTAGAACCTCAACAAAATAGGGTCCTATTTATGCTACGCTGCAAAATGATTGAATTTAATGCTTCATTTCCTTAAAATCGATGGTGTAAGGTCGTCTCAAAAGTGCTCGAAAATAAAATTAATTGCCATTTACGAAAGACCACAAGAATTCATCTAGACCCACATTTGATTTTTTTTTTCGATTGTAGCATTGTTTTAAAGTTCGTCGGCTCCGTAGAATTTTTATTAGAACAGTTGAGCCTTACTAAAAACAAATTGAAGGAAAAAGGACGAAGTTCAAGTGATAGGAAACGCCATTTTAAACTGCTTGAATTATGTGATTAATTAAACAATTCGAGCAGTTCCAACGCTGGTTCCTCCACATCCGTCACATCAATCGAGCAATTTAAACTAACATTTGCTACACAGTTAATTTATATTGCCGAGAATTAGCCACTTAATTCGAGTAGTTAAAATGACGTTTACTACCACTCGAACTTTGAAATAAAACATTATTTTGAGATTTTTTCTTCTAGAACCACGAGAAAAGTAGCCATCATTTGTGCGTTTCATAAAAAAATAGAAATGAGTTGGTTCAGTTTTGTAAAATCGCTGGTAGAAAGTCACGCCAAAACTGCTTGACAAAGTGGTCAATTCAACAGGCGAACAATTCTGTAAATAATTTTGCCGCGACTAACTAACAAATTATAATTTTGCAGAGATCTTTGCTAGCAAACAAATATTTTGCAGAGATAGCAACAAAACAAAATGGCTGTTAATTTCCAACTGTTAATTGCCGAGCTCGATTGAGTGTGTACCACTCGAACCTTACAACGAAATAATATTATGAGATTTGTATCTTTTAGAACTTTGAGGGGAGTTTTATGCTAGGCGTGAACAGTCTGAGCTGATTGCCCCCTTTTCTTCAAATCTCTGGGAGCAGGACTGAAAGAATAAGAAGAAGAAGCGTTCCAAAACTACTCCACTAAGTGATAAACTAACCACATAGTAGAGCAGTTTTGCGGTGACGTTCTACCAGTAATTCTAAAGAAATTCTAAAGAACCAGTAATTCTAATTCTAAAGAAAATTGCTGATTTTTTTTGGGAGTGCATAAACGAAACCCTGTTATCTCGAGGTTCTAGAAGGAAAAGTCTCAACACGTTCAAGCTCTAGTGATAGGAAACGTTTATTTTTTTTATTTTTTCCTTGATTTGTTTTTCGTCAATCTTGTTTTCCGTACTGAGTACCAATGCTACCAACGCCAGGGAGGCAGCTCCCACACCTGGACACTACCCATCGACCCATCAACTCATGGACCGGACCTAATAAACAAATACCATAAAAGAACTGTATCCCGGATGGGTAAACTATCCCACTGATACCCCGAACACGTCGTGCGCCGACTGGGATTGAACCCAGGCCTTTTGGGATGAGAGATAATCACGCTTACCACTTACCGGCGCCGCTAGTAGGAAATGTTATTTTAAACTGCTCGAATGATGTGATCCATTGAGATAAACTGATACATAAAGTGGTAGATAAGGTCTGTATCCACATTAATCTGGACACCTTCAAACCACTGTACCTTTTGAAATATTGCACGTAGGAGTGAAAAATTTCGCTGAGGTATAGCTAGGAGTCATTGATGAAAAAGACTATGATTGGTGTTTACATTCCATGTTTAGTGTTCAAGATGGCGACGAATGAAAAACACGTGCGTGGGCGGATTTTACAAATCCTGACTTGTCAATCATTTTCGGAACGTTTGACGGTCGAGAAGAAACCGAGAAGTGATAAAAACATTGGATCAGCACCCTGTCATGGACCGAAAGGTGAAGAGGATATTGAAGGAAATCCCGAATCTCTCTGTTCGAACGGTGGCTCGTAAAATAGGAATGTCACCTGGTTTTGTCCAAAAATCAAAACAGCGTTTGGGGTTGACGTCGTATAAAGTTAAAACAGTTCCAAATCGCAACGACAAACCGAATTTGACAGCAAAAGCATGGGCTAGGCGTTTGTACTGCGAACTTGATATGGACGATGAAACTTATGCAATGGAGGATTTCAAGCTGCTTCTACTCTGCTATGGCCAAAAATGCTACAGCTGAGTATTTCAGGACGAAGAAGGCATCGAAATTTTCCAACAAAATACCTTATTTGGCAAGCAATTTGCACGTGTGGCCGAAAAAGTAAATCTTTCGTCACTACAGGCACAATCAACAAGGAGATTGTTATTCATCAAAAGCCACAAAGGAGCGATTGCTATTAATCAAAAGCCACAAAGAAAACTCTTTGTTCTGGCCCGATTCAGCATCATGAGATTATGCTAAAATTTAGAGCAATCTTGTGAGAAACTACCATGATCTCTTAGCGAACCTTTTCCTCATTACCAGTGGATTTTTGCAAAAGGTCTTATTTATTTTTAGACAACCATTCGAGTTAAAGGTTCGTTTAAGACCTTTTTAATTGTTCATCTAGGTTAAATATATAGTTTGTGTTGAAAGTGATGTACAGCAGCAGAAGACACCACTGTTGTTGATTTTAACTGTCTTGAATACTAAAATCCGAATCAAACATCGAGATGCCAACATTTCCACGAATAATGCTTGGGAAACTCCATTTCTTGTTCCATTCAAATAACGAAATGACATATGACAACTAAAATGTAAACAAGCAAGAAATTGGATTGTAAATAAGCTCTGCCTTTTTCTCGGCCATTTTAATAATTTAAATCCCTATCTCGCGTAACAACCAAAATATAAACAAACCGGAAAATGGATTATAAATAATCTGTAAAAAATCAAATCGAGCGGAAGGATTTCCTGGCAAACAGCAACAACATAACGCTCTTTTGCAATCCGATGAAGCGACATCTGGTTAAAAAATTCGTAACCTTATCATACCATGCATATTTTACAATTTATTTTTTCACTAAATTCATAAGCTACACTCTTGATAATTGAAAGTTCCTAGCTTGTTTTACATACACGCAGAGTACACGTACAACACATCTCTTATAGGTTATGTCCTCTGTTATATTCTTTGTATTGATTAGTTCGTTTTTAAGGCAACAAAAATCGCTTCTTTCCTTTTCTCTTGTAGCATCACTTTCCCCTCTCTTTGCAATTGTTTATTTGCTTCTATGTGTATAAACGTTTGGCTCGTTCCCGAATCAACTAAAAGTACAAATACGCTTCAAGTGCAACTGGGTACCCTCGATTGCATCCAAATGAAACAGATGCCCGGAGACGTTTCTTTTGCAAATTCTAATCCAATAACCTTCCAATAAAACTAACGAAAACAAAATCCTCAAAACAAGCCAAATCTCTGCTTTGAAAAAAAAAACCGTGTGCCAACGATAGCCAACTGGGAAATGGAATATGAAACCTCCTCTACTAGTGCGTGTGCTTGTGTGTAGATAGAACCCTTCTTTGATCACTAGCATTTTGGTTACTAACCGCGTCGGATTTTCTAATTAGTTACTAAAAATATACACATCTCCATCCCTTGCTTTGCAATTCGTATATAAATTCCCTGCTTGGAGAAAACTATGAAAGATCAAACTAGGGCATCTAGAGCAAAACCGAACAGGAGGGCAGCCGTTCCGAAGCGCGCCGGATGAGTTATCAGTTGCGGAACATAGTTAGCCAAATATTTTAGCATTGTGTTTTCCCGAACAATAATTTTCCGAAGATCATTTCCACAAAGTACGCCATTTCATTGGATTGGGTCATAAATTCACCGGACAAAATCGAAATGTCCCGTTAATTCTCTGAAGCCATTTGTTTTAGCAATATGATTAAGATTCTTCGGGCAGGATATGCAATAATCTAAGCTGACACCGATCGAATACGGATTTCGAAGGGTCGTTTCACCGAAAAGTATAACGGTATCCAAAATGTGTATCAACTGAATTCGCTAAGATCCATTTCCATTGTAAACAACACTGATCTCAAAAGGAAATTAATGTCAGACGAATCCATGCCAATACAATTTGCTTCGTGCACTCATTCGATGAAACGGTCTAGTTTAAGCAATAGCATATTTCAACACGTTGCCCTGAGTAACTTTCTAACGAATTAGCATTTTCTCGAATACATAAGCTATTCCACCGAAGATTTTTCCAGCTCACAAGCGGTTTGTTCAACTTTAAATCAGTCAATATTTTGGTTGCGTTTCGCCAAACGCCGGATGGCTACTTCTTTATAACTAAGCGCCTTCGCTGGATGAGAGTAACGAAACATCTTCCGAGGATCGGGACGACTCTTGGTTTAATGTTATTCGACGTCCACTAAGACAATTTTAAAGGTGGATCGTGATAAATGGGTCGATTCTAAACATCCACTCAAGGGTTTATGGCAGTAAATTGGGGCGATCTGCGGGATGAATGGATCAAAACCCGGAATGAGTGTGACGAGAATTTACCAATTTCTAGAGCAAATCGTGGGACGACTACTTACTCATTGAAGGCATAAACAAAAACGGCTTTTGTGGAAACGATCATTACAGGAAGGACGAAAACGGTTGTATTTATTCATCTTTTCTTCTGGGACATTTTCTACTAGGCGGTCCTTGAGAATTCCATTAACAAACTAAAGAACAAATAACAAACTGAAAAAAGAGTCGCACAGTAGATAATATTCACTTGTCTGTATGTCTAACCATTAAATTACAGTTTAGTCTAGGTTTTAAGGAATTAATAAGATAATTATCATAGGGAAATAGCAGGAATAAGAAAGCTGGACAAAGACTAAATAGGTTTCGCTTTTCTCCATTTTTTTTTTCGTTTCTGTTTGGACATATAAACAATAAAAGACTAGGTTGTGGTTTTTCATTCTCTTTTACATAGAATTTTGGAAAACAGTGCCGCGTAAGAATAGGTGCATTTAGAGGCTAAAAGATGAGGGCGAATTAGAACAATTTAAACAGAACCTAACGACCGACGATGGGTTTGAGCGTAGTATTACAATAGATAAGTAAAGTGAAGTACTGCAAATCATCCCACTCGGTAATTGAGCAAACTGAATGAAAAATTGGCGCACGGAGCACAAAGTAAACCTGAATCGCACGCTTATTTATATTACTGCAAAATATACAGAAAACCTGTAAAGAACTACCGTAACCGGGGATCGGTACTTTAACACCTCGTTGTAACAACAGAAAGCAAGGAAATTAGTCGAATTAAATTAACAAGTCTGGTGAGGTGAAAAATTCGTCCCTATCGAACACATTCCGATCGTGCCTTGCAAAAACTCATCCATTCCGTTTCTAGCAGCTACCACATACTAAAAATTGTCATTTTCAAATGAAATTTCCCCACGCGTACCGAACGTTTGCAGGAATCGTCTAATACTTGCGCGGAACCGTCAGTCACTCGATTCCAACGCCGCAAACGCACCGCGGGGTTCGTCGTTCCCCGTGAGATCTAAACCTGCAGTCGAAAAAGCACTATGACACATTCCCCTCTCCCCCACCCCCTATCCTGACAACCAAATCAACTCCGCTTTACGGAAAATCCCTCCGCTTCATGCCAACTTATCCTTCGCTTCGTCTCACTTTACTTAACATAACACAAAATCAACAAAGAAAAATAATTAACCAACTTGACTTGTAGTATCAATCCCCCGGAAATCCCTCTTTCCCTCTCTTATACTCATCGCCCCATACTCCTACCCCATCGGCTAGCGGCCTTGTCTCTCAACTCCCAACACTGTGGATCCACAGTATGCTACAAACCTCGCACGAACAAAACAGTAAACAACGCGGCGGGCTCTTTCCAGGTTTTTGGGATGCACTTCTTTTCTCTGCGCGCACGCTTAGATCCATATTAAGCGTCATCATTTGGGACTCCGAGGTCCCTGCTGGTGCTGCGGTTGGACATAATCCTTCAATTGGTGCGGTCGGGCCGTCCTACCTCCACCGTTGTTGGGAGCTTTCAAGCTATTACTGCTGGCGCTGCTGCTGGTGGTGGTCGTGGTGGTGGCGGAAGTGGCGGAGGTGGTGTTGTTGTTATTGGCTTCTCCTCGATGACCGGCACCTCCGGAGGTTGCTGTGGTTACGTTTCCATTGCCAGCAGCTCCAGTGGTGGTGCTGGTGGTGATGGTGGTTGTGGTAGTGGTGGCGTTGGTAGTTTGTGACGAGATTGCATTGCTACCGCCGCCTCCACCTGCAGCACCTGTCGAGGAGCGGAAATCTTTGGCGTTCTGGCGAGAGTTGGCAGAGTTGCTGGCGTTGCTGCCACTGCTGTAGCGAGTATCTGCGGAGGGGGAAGAGAGGAGTGCTTGTTATTCGACGTTGGGAATCGTTTATGGTGAACTACTTTAGGTAAGTATGTATGTGGTATGTTAAATTGCTGATGTGTTAAATGAGAACTACGGTTCAGTTTAGCAAACATGATGTCTCATCAGAATATTTGTCGACTGCTATAAATTCTTCGGGAAATCTCAGAGGATTCATGTAGTAGGGAGGAAGATTGTGGGCGTTCTTCTTGTGTCCGGCACATTACCACTGCGACCTTTGAGACGACCGCTGGAACGTTCCAGGAGACTTCTATCCAAGAGAAGCTCAAAAGACTTGCGTGAGAAGTTCAGAAGACTTTGCTGGGATATCTATTCAGACCAAAAATAAAAACAACATGGCAACGGTTGCATTCAATTCAAATTTAGAATCAAGAAGCATGGTTGTATTTTGAAAAAAAAATATAAACAATTTGTGCCTCTATCAAATCCACATGGGAAGGTAAATACATTCAGAAGTCATTTTTAGTAGAAACATTCCTCTTTTTTGTTCAAATGCGATCGAAAAAGAGAGGCTAAACTGTAAAGCACGAGCTGTGCTTATATGGTCGAAAGTTAGATCTAACCACTGTGGACAGAAATTCATGCAAATCCACACGAGAATTCCGAATAATAATAATTCTGAGGTAAGCTTCACGGGAATTCTTAGGAATATTCCAAAGGAATTTTAAGGAGAATTCAGATGATACATTTAAGCAAATTTACGCTGAGTTATTGAGAATACGAAGATAATAGAAGAGTTTTTTTCAAAAGTTTATTGGAAGTGTAGGCGGGGCTACAAAATGGTAAGTGACAATCTGGAAGGAGCGATATACCTAGCTCCGGTTCTCACAAGTTCCTACCTCACGCCTCCACGAGTCATATGATCACAAAAGACTGCCAGCTGAAACATGGACACAGCTGGTTGGCGTAGCCTGGGCAATGTTGTCAATCCGACAATAGCAGAGTGAGGAGGTGCGACGCGAACACTGGCGCGGTAACCATAGCACGGTGATAGAGGAAATGCTTCGCCAACCCGAGCGTCTGTTCACCATGGAGGTGCGGCTCAAACAGCGTCTGACTGGCATCCAGCGGCTGAATAAGAAATGCTCTTCCCCGGAAGCTACACCTAAGAATTTCAGCCCCATCACGGCGGATAGGAGACCTAAGGCCAATCACCTACTGTCTCTGAAACCTTCACAATTGTTACAGAAACCAACAGAGAAAGACATCGAACTGATTTAACGGCAACGACTTTTAGCGCAAAACAACGGACACGAATTGGATCATGGAATGTATTGACGTTAGCACAGCAGGATAAACTGACACAACTCGCCAACGAGGCGCGACGCATGAAGCTAGAAATCCTGGGACTGAGTGAAGGCCGTTGGCCAAACTTTGGAGAACACAAACTGCCGTCGGGACAGGTACTACTATACTCTAGTATTCGAGGTGAAAACGCTCCCCGCCATCGTGGAGTTGGTCTCCTACTTAGCGTCCAGGCAAGTGCTGCGCTCATCAAGTGGGAGCCTGTTAAGGAAGGATAATTGTTGCCAGATTTAGAACACGGGTTCGTAACCTTACTATAATCCAATGTTATGCGCCAACCGATGCTGCCGAGCTACAGGACAAGGAGAATTTTTACAGTCAACTGAATGCCGTCGTGGATAAGGTTCCAAAGGGTGACATCAATATCTACACTGGCGACTTCAATGCGAAGATCGGCTCCGACAACACGGACTAAGAGCGTGTCATGGGACGCCATGGTCCCGGCGAAATGAGCGAGAACGGTGAGCTGTTTGCAGAATTTTGTGGCAATAACGACATGGTGATCGGGGGCTCGCTCTTCCCCCATCGGCCAGTGCACAAAGTCACGTGGGTTTCCCGTGATGGACACACCGAAAATCAGATCGACCACATCTGCATCAGCCGAAAATGGAGACGGAGCCTTCTTGATGTCCGGAATAAACGCAGCGCCGACATCGCGTCTGACCATCACCTTCTAATCGGCGAAATCCGCCTACGCATGGCGCGGATCCAGCGACGGAAGGAGAGACTCGGGCGGCGGTTCAACACACGCCGACTTGAAGATCCAGAGGTCTTTTGGTGAAGAACTTGAGACTCGAGCTGCGTACGTTCCAGAAGGTGGCAGCGTAGAAGAACAATGGACGGCCATCAAGAATGCCTTTATAGAAACAAGCGAGAATAACTTGGGTGAGCTACGCACCCAGAGGAAAGAGTGGATCACAGATGAAACCTGGCGGAAGATTGAGGAGCGTAGAGAAGTAAAAGCCGCGATAGAGCGGGCGAGAACCAGAGGAGCCAAGAACGAAGCCCGTCAACGGTAGTCGGCTCTAGAGAAGGAAGTCAAGCGCTCTTGCAGACGGGACAAGCGAGCGTGGGTGAACTCCCTGGCCGACGAAGGGGATAAAGCCGCAAACACTAGCGATATACGCCTCCTCTACGATATCTCTCGACGCCTGAGTGGAGCAAGGATGAACCCGAGGATGCCAGTGAAGGACACGACTGGACAATTGCTTACCGACCCCACTGACCAGCTGAAACGCTGGTTTGAGCACTTCGAACAACTTCTTCAAGTTTCGACGGCCAACGAACCATCAACATCTCGGCATGATCCGCCTAGGGTGCGGCGCATCACTCGCGTCAATTCCGAGGCCCCATCACTGCAGGAGATTGAAGCAGCTATCCGAAGCAGCTATCCGAAGCATGAAATCCAACTAGGCTCCAGGGGTCGATCGCATATCAGCGGAGATGCTCAAAGCTGACCCCATGCTATCCGCACAAAAGTTGCATCAACTATTCTGTAGTATCTGGGACACCGCGACTTTTCCGGCCGACATCTTAGTGAAGGTCCCAAAGAAGGGGGATCTGACTGTGTGCGACAATTGGCGAGGCATCATGTTACTGTGTATTGTTCTCAAAGTTCTGTGCAAAGTTATCCTGAATCGGATACAGGAGAAGATCGACGCGACTCTCCGACGGCAGCAGACAGGATTCCGTGCCAGAAGATCTTGTGTGGACCATATTGTCACGCTCCGCATCATCCTGGAGCAGGTCAATGAATTCCAAGAGTCCCTTTATTTGGTATTCATTGACTACGAAAAAGCTTTCGACCGTCTCAATCACGAGAATCTGTGGGGCGCCCTGAGACGCAACGGAGTCCAGGATAAAATCGTCAACCTCATCGAAGCGCAGTATGAGGCTTTCACGGGCAGAGTTCTGCATAACGGGAGCCTTGTCCGACCCTATCCGGGTAGTCGCTGGTGTGAGACAAAGATGTATACTATCACCGCTACTGTTTCTCATCGTAATCGACGAGATCATGGTAGGTGCAATTGACCGTGTACCGAACCGTGGGCTGCTTTGGCAGCCTATCACCATGGTGCATCTCAACGACTTCGATTTGGCTGATGATGTTGCTCTACTAGCACAACGGCGCTCTGATATGCAGAGTAAGCTCAATGACCTAGCCGAACGCTCCTCTGCGGCGGGTCTCACCATCAACGTCAACAAGACCAAATCGTTGGATATCAACACGGGCAACCCTTCCAACTTTACGGTAGCGGGGCAAGCAGTGGAGAAGGTCAAAAGTTTCCAATATCTTGGCAGCCAAATAGCGTCGGACGGCGGGACCAAGAGCGACATAGGTGCACGAATCAAGAAGGCTAGGGCTGCTTTTGCGAGTTTACGAAACGTATGGAGATCCAACCAGATAAGTCAACGCACCAAAATCCGAATTTTCAACTCGAACGTGAAATCTGTGGTGTTATACGCCAGCGAGACGTGATGTGTATCAGCGGAGAACGCTCAAAAGCTGCAGGTCTTCATCAACCGATGCCTGCGGTATATAATTTGTGCCTGGTGGCTTCACAACTGGATCTCGAATGCCGAGCTCCATCGTCGATGTCATCAGAAGCTGATAGCAACAGAAATTCGAGAGCGAAAGTGGAGCCAGGTCAAGGCAAAAGCGAGCAGCCGCCCAGGATGGAAGTCTTTCACGTTGGCCCTTTGCACCGCTGGTGATGCACAGGACCCTTAAGTAAGTAAGTAAGTAGGCGAATTTTAGATTTAATTCGGAGGAATCTTGAAAGTAGCTCTGAAGATATCTTAGGATGTAGGGTAGAGAACTACTTCGGTCTAATCGCCTATTTTGGGCCTATCGAGCAGAAAACATCAAATAAGTCCATGATTTCAGAGTTAACAAGTCAATTATGGGTTTGGTACGATACTTTAGTTAATAAGCTACCGAACAAAGTCAATGAGAACGCGTGATATGAAAGTTTTCACCCATAATTCACCAAAGAAGCACTCCGACCGAATCAATTTTTATCTTCATAGGCCGAAGTGAATTCATTGGAGTTTCAATGTGTTAGACCGAGTTTGGGGTCAAGAAGCAGTGTTAGACTTTTAACAATATCTCAACGATTGGTTTCTCTTTATCAAATCTTACGGTACGTACAGAAAGGTAAATAAATTTGGAAGCCATCAGTATTCTTAACGCGGCCTACAAAGTGCTTTCCCTGATAAACTTTCGCCGTTTATCGCCGCTAGCAAGTAGATTTGTGGGAAGTTATCAAGCCGGTTTTGTGGACGGGCGATCGACAACGGACCAAATCTTTACGTTGCGGCAGATCCTCCAAAAGTGTCGTGAATATCGAAGTCCCTACGCACCACCTATTCATCGATTTCAAGGCCGCTTATGATACTATTGCCCGTGAAGAGCTATGGAAGATTATGGACGAGAACGGTTTTCCCGGGAAGCTGACCAGACTGATCAGGACTACGATGGATGGTGTACAGTGCTGCGTGAAGATATCGGGTCCGTTATCGGACTCGTTTGAAACTTGCAAAGGACTTCGACAAGGCGATGGTCTTTCCTGCCTCCTGTTCAACATTGCGCTAGAAGGTGTTAAGAAATGTGCGGGCTTTAACATGCGGGGCACAATCTTCAATAAGTCCA